TCTTAGCCAGCCCCTCTATGTGGTTAAAACCTGTTGCCACTGGGTCAACTCCGACTCATAGCGACCCTGTAGGACAGAGTAGAACTGCCCCATAGGGTTTCCAAGGCTGTAGTCTTTATGGGAGCAGACTGCCACATATTTCTCCAGCAGAGCACCTAGTGGGTTCAAACTGCCAACCTTTTGGTTAGCAGCCAAGCACTCAACCACTGTGCCACCAGGGCTCCTTCTATGTGGTTAAGAATGGCTCAAATGGGCATTGCCCTCTCTACTATCATGTTTAGGAGAGCCTTTAGATTACATTTCAGTTTGCCAAATAGCAGGCTTCAGTTGTCACAGGGTAAGCGTAAGCAGAAGAATCTGCATCTCCTGTAGTTGACTCAAAGTCTGCTAACTTTCCAGGTGCCCCCTGATTTGAAACTTCTTAGTCACCTTTTGATTACATGCTCTCCTGGGCCACTATTATCAGGGGAAAGTGAGCATGCCACCACTTACTGATCCCTTACTGAGGCCAAGCTCTGTGCAAAGCACTTCACGTGTGCTTTCATCTCCCTTAATACCCACAACAATGTATGAAGTGGCAACTACCATCACGTCCATTTTACACGCGTGGGAGCCGATCACTCAGCACTCAGACTGTGATGGGTACAATGAAAGGCTACCACAGAGCATGGTGCAACAGCGATGTATATACACATGACAGAAGTACACAGAGCAACGTGAGGAATCACAAACACAATGAGTTCAGGAGACAAGTTAAGACACAAGTGCACACAGAAACAAAAAGATATAAATCAGAACTTTAGAATGGTTGTCTCCGTGGGATGTCAAGAGTGGTGACAAAGGGAACTGACAAAAACCTGACTAACTTGTCCCCAAGGATAAGGCAGGGGCCCCGGTGCCCACCCTTATTGCTGACTCAGGCATTTGGGAGCAATTTGCTAATGCTAAAGCTGCAGCCTTTTGGACAGAAAGCGAGCTCAGGGGCCAGAGCCTCATAATCAGGGGCCCGTTAGAGAGGAGGCAGCCCCGCTAAGGGAACACAAGAAAACCTAAAAAACCAAACCTGTCTCTATGAGTCTATTCCAACTCATAGAGACACTATAGGACACAGAGTAGAACTGGCCCACAGGGTTTCCAAGGAGCAGCTGGTGGATTCAAATTGCCAACCTTTTGGTTAGCAGCTGAGGTCTTAACCTCTGCACAACCAGGGCTCCAGGGGAAGCATAAGAGACCCGCTCAAAGCCATCCTCCTCACCCCTGCCTCAGTGCTAAGAACACCACCTCTAGAGATGAATCCCTTTGGGCTTTGCATTTTGGGGGAATTTCACAAAATTGCTCAATGAGTTAACATTAAGAATAGTTTAGACAACAGAACCTTGACAATATTACGCTGAGTGAAGTAGGTCAATCACAAAAGGACAAATATTGTAAGATCTCACTATATGAAACACCTAGAATAGGCAAATGTATAGAGATCAGAGTGTAATAGTGGTTACCCGGGGCGGGAGGGAGGGGGAAAGCGGCAATTGTTGTTTAAGAAGCACTGAATTTCTGTTTAACGTTTCCTGAGCACTTACTATGAATCAGAATGGCGCTAGGAATTTTTACATTATCTCATGTACTGCTCACAAAAATCCTCTGTGGTGGGGTTATCATTCCTGTTTTACAGCTGAGTCCAGAGAAGGTAACCAGGCCAAGGGCACCCAGTTAGTGCTATCAGATGCCGTCTTTCTCTTGTCTCAGGGGACACCAGCCCATCCTTGGAGAAAGCGACACCAACTAGCAGCTTTTGCCGCCCTGCCTAGCAACTGGGCCTGGGGTTTCCAGAACTATCAGAATGACTCCAGCTTTCATTGGGACATGGCAGGTCTAGGAAGTCTACACCTCCGTGGAGGCTCCTGATGTAGGGGACTCCTGGGGTTAAGTCAGACTCTAGGGACTTCCTCTTTGCCCTCCTATACCCTTGAGTCCTGATATGGCTTCTCTAAACCAGGTTCAGGTTCCAGAGAACTGCAGATTCCCTTCCACAACTATTTTCCATCCTGATCTGAATCTCCAGCTTCCAGGGCTTCAGGACTTGGTAGTGGTGGTGGAGGTGGGGGGAGGGCCCGGCAGAACAGCCATAAATTCCCTGGGAGTGGTATAATATAAGCAAAATGACAGTGAGAAATCTCTGAAAGACAGAGAATACAGCAGAGCTTTATCACATGTGCTAGCATTACAAGGTCTAGGATTTAACATAGGCCAAATGATGTTTGTCAACCCTCCCCAAACTGCACAGGGTAAGTCCTGATGAGATGCTATCAGGAACACGGCCATCAGCTTTACCATTTAATCTCCTCCTCCTTCTTACCCCCTGCCAACATTTTATAAATAGCCTATTTTTTTTTATGTCAGGCCCTAGTCCAATTATTTTGAGCAGAGCTTAAAAGAAAGTAATTCCAGCCAACAAATATTCTTAACATTCCCGGTTGTGTTGGGTTGTGACTTGTAACAGATTGTCAAGGCCTCACCCGTCAAGGCCTCACCCAGAAGTCCTGTCATAAACACCTGACATAATTAACACCATGAGCTCAATTTGACTTAAAGAGAAAGTATTATTATTAGGCAAAACTAGCCCTGGTGGTGCAGTGGTTAAGAGCATGGCTGCTAACCAAAAGGTCAGCAGTTTGAATCCACCAGCCGCTCCTTGGAAATCCTATGGAGCAATTCTATTCTGTCCTATAGGGTCGCTATGAGTCAGAATTAACTCGATGGCAACTGAAGAAAAGAGTGTCACGAAAAGAAAATTTTACAAAATTGTGGTTTGTATGTGAAATCAAAACAAACTTGGGTAAGGTTTCTTCTACCCCTCTGGGAAGAAATGGAGATGAGATGTAGGCTAGTGACAACTCACTTCTATAAATATTTATTTTGTCATTAGTGTGGGGAAATACAAATGTTAAGTGACCACAGACTTCTTGAAATCCACCATTCTTCTGTGAAACCCAAATGCTAGGCAGGCTGCCAGATGAGAACTCTGGCGCTTAAGAGTCTGTTTGAATTGTTGCCATTCTGAGTGTTCCTGATAATCTCAAAATCAATAGTCAGAATGGAGAGAAGCCCTATGTCCTTCTCTCATCTCTCTAAAATGATCTGCTTCCTTGTTGAAAAAAATAAAACAAAAACCAAACCCCAAACAGTAACCTCTTATCATCTTTTCCTGTCCTCTTTTTTCTGGGTTTCTGGGGAAAAAGTACAGCACTGTGCTCTCCTGACCTCTGACTGTGCTCTTCTGTATCCGAGTCTGGACACACCATCCTTTCCCTTTCCCACACATGCACTTAGCAGATTTCTCTGGACCTTTGCTCTGCTCTTCCTTTTCTAAAGCTCCTAAGATTTCTTGTCCCCAAGTTCTCCACAGTCTTGCTCAATCCCTTTTTAAAAAAACCCAGGTGCGGTCAAGTCCACTCTGACTCATGGCAACCGTACGTGTCAGACAGAGCAGAACTGTGCTCAATCAGTTTTTCACTGGCTGATTTTTCAGAAGTAGATCACAAGGCCTTTCTTCTGAGGCACCTCTGAGTGAACTCAAACCTCCAACCTTTCTGTTAGCAGTTGAGGGCATTAACCATCGTAACCACCCAGGGGCTCCTGAATCCCTTTACTGTAGGGTTTTACATAGGGTTAAGCTTGGATGGTTTGATTTTTTTAAAACAAATACCATATATACTTTTCCATCATACTTAACCTGTTACTCTGTGGAGCCCTGGTAGCACAGCAGCTAAGAGAGCAGCTGCTAACCAGAAGGTCGGCAGTTGGAATCCACCAGCTGCTCCCTGGAAACCCTGTAGGGGTTCTACTCTGTCCTATAGGGTTGCTATGAGCCATAATCAACTCAATGGCAACAGGTTTTACCTACCACTCTGGAGCCCTCCTCTCTTCCTTTTCTAGCATTCAGTCCAGCAAACAAGGGATAGCTTTTAACAGAGCCTTGGGAGCTTGGACTATACTCTTGCACATGTTTTAAGAGCCCCTTATCGGTCAAGTTGGACTCTTCCTAAAGCTCCGCTGCCAAACTGATTTTATTCAAATCTTTTCAAACCCCAGTGTATTGAAACCCTTTGAAGCCCCAGTGTTTTGACATTTTGGCCCTCTCTGAAGTGGTTTTTTTTCAGACCTATACTGTGTCTGGTAATAATAAGAACTAACATCTACAGATACTATGTCCAAGCAACCCTGTAAGGTAGATACAATTATTATTCTGCTTTTATAGAGGATAGAACTGAGTCACAGAGAGTGTAAATAACTTGCTCAAGGTCACAGCCAGAAGGTAGCTGAGCCAGAGCTGTGACCTCCAGGATCAAAGGGATCTCGAGTCCACTCTTCTCGCTTCTCCATCTTTTTAAGCTGGTGACATATGCTCAATCTCTTTGACCCTCAGTTTCCTTTCAACAAAATTAACATTAACCATTCTTTGCAACAAATGAAACAGATGCCTGACAGTTCTAGCTCAGTCCCTGGCATTCAATAATTGCCAATTCTCTTCTGCAACCCATGAAAACCCCCTTGTAGAAGGGCTGGGTCCCGCTCCTCTAACTATCCCCAACATATAGTAAAAACCAAAACCAAACCTTGATTCCAACTCATAGCAATCCTACAGGACAGAGTAGAACTGCCCATAGGGTTTCCAAGGAGCTGCTGGTGGATTCAAACTACTGGCCTTTTGGTTAGCAGCCGAGCTCTTAACCACTGTGCCACTAGGGCTCCGCATGGGGGGGTCCAATTAACATCTGCACAATGAAGATGAATCATCCAAGGGACTTCTATGTTTACGTATATCTGGCACATTCTGGCCTGTCTCGCTTTATTCCCCACGTTGCTTTGTGCCTTGTCCTAGGCTTGCCACTCGGTGCCATTATCTGCTCTTCTACCACGGCTTCTCCCTCGGCCCAGGACTCCTACCGCTAGGGCTCCCGAATCTCCCGGACACAGCGCGCCTGGGCTAGCCGCCGTCTTACCATGGCATCGTAGGACAGGGCGTTCATAAAGTGCACCACCTCGGCGCCCTTGTACACGGTGAACCAGAGGGTGCCCTGGTACTGGTCGCCGGCGTCGAGTAGCAGCACATTGGGCTCGGCGTTGCGGATCTGCTGCACCTTGGTGAAGAGCCGCGCCACGCCGCCCACGCAAAGGCTGGCATTGACACACTTGCCCGAGTCCTGGCTAGTCTGCTCCAGCCGGCTGTGCACGTCGTTGGTATGCAGAATGGTGAGCTCCCAGGCGCTGACCGTGGGCCACAGCAGCGCGCTCAGCGCGAGGAATTGCAGCACAGGCGCTCGCGGCGCTCCGGGACACATGGCTGCGGCTCGTGGAGCTGGCGCGAGTGCTGGCGTGCGCTGCGGACGCCGGGCTAGGTTCCCTGGCCTTGGGGACGGGGCGGGGCTGTGGTCCGGGGCGGGCCTTAGTTCAGGCTGCAGGCTGACCCCGAGACCAGCGCGCGCCCGCGCGGTCACTCGATCCTACCCTGGCACCGAGAGCAGTCCGGGCGCGGCTGGCGACTGGCACCCCCTCCTTCAGCAACAGTGAGGAGGTTGTTCCCTGCCGGGCGTTGGGCACCGGCCGCTATCCTCGCCGGAGAGGGGAACCTGGGCGCCAACAATCCTGCTGCGGGTGGGCTTCCCTTTCCGGGGTGCGAGGAAAGAGGAGGAGGGGTCTACTCCGCGTGTAGGGCCTAGCTGATTTTCGCCAGTTTGAGGCACGGATTTTTCTAAAAGAAGAATAAATGGTTTGTATTGGGCTTGTGATTGCGCGGGATCATCACTTGAAAGCGCGGGAAGAGGGAAAAGAGGGGGGGCGGCTAGATGAGCGCCAGGGCGGAGGGGGAGAGAAAAAGGAGTAGGGAGGGAGGCAGGAGAGAGGAGCTCTTTGGGCAGTGGGAGCCAAAAGCAGATTGTGAGATATGCTGGCTCTCCCAGTTTGAGAACGCACCAAGTCTAGGTTGCTTAGACATAGAATCCCGGAAGCTAAGAAATCATTCGAATCCAGTCCCTCGTTTATTCACGATTAAAACCTTAGTGATAACACAGTAGCGGTCCTCTGACAGTTCCTGGAAGCCAAAACAGACTTTTCTAGTCACCTTTCCTGTCTTATTTTTGAAGTTTTAATGTTTTAAGGATGCTCTCACTCTCTGTCTCTGTCCTTTATCCCCCTCTGTGTTTTAATGCAAAGCTTTGGGAAGGAAGGCAATAGCAGGAATCCATAAATTAAACGAATTATTATCATCATCATCTGCTTATTAATTGATGCAGAATTTCTCTCTGCTTAACAATTGTCTCCTGAGTTTAAATTGAATGTAATCAATCATTTAGTCACTTTGGAGAGACTGGAGAAATCCCCGACAGTTTGGGCCCTGGACACCCTTTTAGCTCAGTAATGAAGTCACTCCTGAGGTTCACCTTTCAGCCAAAGATTAGACAGGACCATAAAACAAAAGGAGACTAAAGGGGCGCACCAGCCCAGGGGCAAGGACGAGAAGGCAGGAGGGGACAGGAAAGTTGGTAATGGGGAACCCAAGGTCAAGAAGGGAGAGTGTTGACATGTCGTGGGGTTGGTAACCAATGTCACAAAACAATATGTGTACTAATTGTATAATGAGAAGCTAGTTCTGTAAACCTTCATCTAAAGTACAATAATAAAAATAATAATTTAGTCACTTTGGGAAGGGAAGGGGAAAGCATATGTAATCCTTACCCTCTTCCAAAATGCACCAAGCCAGCCTTGTTTTTAAGACGTGAGGCTTGATGTTAAGAGTGTAAATCATTTGCCCAGGAAAGAACAAAGAGTTTGGGAACAACAGACTCTAGAGTCATGCAAGACCCTTTCCCCTAAGATGTCATGCTTTGCAAAGTTTTGCCCAGCTTCTGTGTCTGTGCTAAAAGCTGGTAGAGGACCTAATAGTTTTTCTCCTATTTTAAAATCATTTTAGATTTACAGAAGAGTTGCAAAGTTACGGAAAGTTCCCACATACCCTTCACCTAGCTTCCGCTAAAGTTATCATCTTATGTAATGATCAAAACTGAAAAAAAAAAGAACATTGATACAAAAGTATTAATTATACTACATATTTTATATGGTTTTACCAATTATTCCATCAGTGTCCTTTTTATGTTCCAGGATCCCATCCAGGACACCACTAATTTCTAATCTAGTGAAAGGTACTGGTCAGGTATTTGTATACAGTCCTTCAATTTGAGTTTGTCTCGTGGTTTTTTGTTTTGTTTTTTGTCACGATTAGATTAAGGTTATGGATTTTGGGGAAGATTACCACAGAATTGAGCTGCCCTTCTCACTGCATCATATCAAGGTATACATGGTGTCAGCCTGACTTATCACTGATCACTGGGTAACTCATAGTTTTTTGTTTTTTAACCTTTGCCACTATAATGGCACTGAAATTCCTGCCCTGTCAATTGCTGCTAGACTTCTGTTTCAAAATCACTCCTGTGTCGTTTGTTTGCTTGATTATTTATTGGTTCAAGTTCAAACTTCCCAACCTGACCTTTTAAAGATTCTCTTATCCAGCCCTTACCTTCCACTGTCGCTCTCACATCTGATGATCCCTCTTTTCGCTTCCCTCCAAACCACTATTCCCAGGCTTTCTTGAGGTTCTAGCTCATGTCTCATGAACTTTCTTTGACTACTCCAAACAGAAGAGAGCTTTCTATTCTCTAAAATCCTGGTTGATTCCTACAATCTCACTTTAGTGTGGTTTTACTTTGTTTCTCAGATGTTTAATGTGTGTGTCTTGACTTCCCTCCAAGTGCTGAAAACAGAGTAGATGCTTCAGTAGTGCAATTCAAGTAGCATTAACTTAAAATCTATTTTGGAAGCAGTGGAGGCAAATACAAAAGAAGAGTCAAGAAGGATCACACCTCTCCCAGAGGGGTAGTGCTGCAGACAAGGCTGGGCTACTCGCACTGAACAGCTGTGAAGGCATCAGGATCGTGCAGTGTTTTGATCCCACTGAGATTTCTTAAATCAGTGAAGGAAGGAAAGACACAATGAGTTTCTCCTACAAGGCAGGTAGGTCTGCAGACAAGTCAGAGCTTGATTATTATTTCATTGGTTGTTCATAAAGTAATGGGGAAAATGTTAACAGTGCAGCGTAAACTATAAAGTGTGTAGTGTCCATAACCATTACACTGGCAATACAGCACAAAAATTGAGGAAATATTCTTTCAGTGTTTGAAAACTATTACCTGAGTCATCAAAGAGCCTACTCACATGGTGAACAACATGCGTAGTGCTGAAGCTGAAAGAGGTTTTAGTTTAATGAATGTAATATGTATGCGGGTGAGAAATAGTTTAACTCTAGATCAAATATTAGATGTAATAACAATACATTTATTGGGAAGTAAATGCGGACGTTACTCCGTGTGTCAAGTCACTGTTGAGTTGCAACCATAGGTTGGTTATAGATACAAGAGTTCTACAAAAATCAGTGAAAACATTACTTGAAATTCAATTTGATGCACAGAATTTGCAATGAAAAGTACTGTATATTTTATCATTATTTGTAAATTTTGTGCTATACATTGTTTATATCAATAACATTTATAATGAATGTGTGTGTCGATACGTTTTTCCCCGAGAGTCAGCTGTTAAACGTTTACCAGCCCACCATCTTGTGTGATGTGAACCTAGTTTATGTCTTCTCACAAAGTCTTCAACAAAATACAAGTTTCTCTTTAAATGTGTCGAGACATTATATTTATTTGCATGAACTGAATTAAAAATCTGAGAACTGAGGTGAATTCTGGGTGAAAACAAGGATCTGTTTGTTCTGTCCCACTTGAGTTACGTTGTTACGAGGCTGAAATTAATGTTTTGATTTTATTGATGAGAAAACCAATACTTATTTGGCTAAATAATTTGTCTAATATCATTCAACTACTAGATGATAGACAGGTTTTGAATACAATTGAATTCCAATACTCAGGATACATTGTTAGGTCCTCAACAATAGTGTTAAGGGATAGATATTATTATTTTCCTTTTACAGGTAACAAAATTGAGGTTCAACATGTATATTAATTGTTCCAGGTTCCGTAGTTGGACAGATTTTTTATTTTTTGTATTTTTAACTGTATGTCACACAAGCTCCTCTGCCCACTCAAAATGTTTATATTCTGCTGTTCCACATCCTGGCATCTCTGACACACAGGAGCAGTTGTTGGCCTGGGGGTTTCTGAGAAGGCTAAACAAGCTCAGGATCCCCTCTTGCAGCTTTGCCACGGTCTGTTTGGGGCCAAAGCAGGACCATCAGTGTATATTAGCCCCTTTCATAAACCATGTGGCATAGAGTGAGTTGGGGCTGAGTCAACCCAGGATCCCTAAGAACAAGCCATGGGGAGACAGGCCCTCTTGTATTACCAATTCAGATACCTCAGCTTAGACCTGTGTCCTTCCCTGGGGAAAGGCAGAGGTTCAATCTTCAGTTTCTCTGTCACAGCCCACTCAAGCCCCACAGCGGAAGTAGCAGCAGCAGACCGTGCCCCTCACAGCCTCCTATCCCTACTCCTCCCCAGCTCCCATCAAAAGAGACATGGAGTTTGGGCCTCTCTCCCTCCGTGTAAAAGCCATGATGCCTCTCCTGCAGGAAGGAGGACTGTGACTCTCCTGGAACAGAATCCTCTCTTTCCCTGGGCAGAAAGCTTTGAACAGCTCGGTTGCCTTCCAAGCCCCCTTCTGCCACTACATGATGTAGTTCCATATTGCTGGATTCTGAGTACAGACGATTAAAACACATCATTTTGTTAGATCCTTCCAAAATGACCAGGAAGGAAAAGAATGGTGCACAGAAAAATGACGTAAGTCCTTAGCCCACTTTATACCAGAGGATTAATTTACAACCTACTGTAATTCTTAAACGGAAAACTCTGGAAGTCTGTCCTCTGTTTAGCAGGGAACAACTTGAGAAAACTGATTTGCCTAGCAGTTTCTATTTACCATCAATCCTAGAAATTTATTAACCAGCTTTTCAGACAAACTTCCAGGATGTTTACTTTTGACTTGCACATGAAGTGTGCTGGGGTGACATTTTACTTCTGTTTCAAACTTCAGTGATATTTATTGGTATCTGTTTTCCAAGTACGCAGACACTCATGTTTTAGAGTTATGGAGAATTCCAAAGAGAATTGTTAATATGAATAAAAAATAAAATTGTATTCACAGTCTTACCTGCAATATGCACACAGTTCATATTTGAGTTGATTTGAGGAAAGTCCAAAGGAATAGAAGTTGACATCTACTTGTTTATTTTTTCAGCCAGTGTTTACTGATCACTTGCCATGTGCCAGGGATTCTGTAAGGCTCTGGGGCTTCAACAGAGAACAACACAGACC